ACCAATTTCTTAAAATAATCCATTGGGTTAGGTCAACCTAACCCATCTTCTTTCTCTTTCGACTCGCTTCTCTTTTTTCCAAAATAATTAAATAAAGTAAATACATATACTATATAAAATATTTTTCCTCCATAATAATAATAATAATATATTTCTGACCCAAAATATAATAATATAATTTTAATATTAAAATATCATATAAAATCAACCTTTTAGATTTTATAATAAAATATATAATTTATCAACTCCCAAATTATCCCTTAAAACATATAAATAATTATTTAAAATGTTAATAAAAATGCTTATTTAAAACATCCAAAATGACATTCCCTTATAATAATAAAATAATATTGACTAAATACTATATAATAATAAAATAATATTGACTAAATACTATATAATAATAATAATAGTATTTTGAAAAACGGGGTGTTACACTTGTCGGATTCATAAGTATATGCACCTATAAAATATGATCAGTCACCTTTTGAGGGAGTGATGTGTACAAATTGTTCAAGTCCTAAAAACTCTCATGTCAACATTCAATGACTTTGATCCCAAAATCGCTAATGTGTATGTAAGGAAACTTAACATAGTGGTTCCACTCCCAACCAATCTTCATACCAAATAAAGGAACTTTCTGAACCAAGACAAGGAGTAAAGTCATCCTTAAGCAATGATAATGCTTTAAGAATGCTTGCCTAAACATAGGATTCCCTCGTTGTTTTACCCTGACCAGCACCGAGTAATCTCTCAAATATTTATCCCACAAGACTTGCACCTAAGGCTAATGTGGTGAACTCAACAACTCCTAAATCAATTTACCAAGAAATGCTATATTCACCGGTTGTGATTCTCGTATGTTTAATCCACCACACGCAAGCGATTGAGTGACCATGGACCATCCCACCAAAGACCAGAACCAAGAGTTGTAATCTTTCACTTATAGCATCAATCAACACACTTTGTTAATAATGTTGTAGATACCTTGTGGGAACTACAAAATTGCATACCACAAATAGGAATTGAGTTTAATGTGGACTTGATGAGACATAACTTACCAACTTTGTTCAGTAACCTACCTTTTTAGGCGGCTAATCTCCCATTCAATCAACAACATGATAAAAATCTTGCAACTTAACCTTTCCCTGAATCATTGACATATCCAAATACTTCCCCATGCAACGATGATGATGCATATTCAAAATTTGCTAAAACGTCTTTATTCTCAGGCTTCCCATCTTCTTAGATGCCATGAATTTAGACTTGTCACAATTTTCCTTCAAACCCGATGCAATATGGAAGTCCTCCAAGGTTAAAGCTACTAATTGCAGCTATTGTTCCATGGCATGACAAAATAAGAAAATATTGTTTGCAAAAAACAAACGAGACAAAGATGGGCCTCCTCCTGATATTTGAATAGCTTTACAAGAATTTTCTTTATTTAGCTCATGGATGTGAAAAACAAGTTTCTCCGTGCAAAGCATGAAAAGATACGAGGATAGAGGATATTCTTGCCTAAGACCCTGAGATGATTGAAAGGGTTGCAATTTCCCTCCATTCTAAAGCATTGACAACGTAGAACTCTCAACTCTCCACATGATGAGTTGGAAGATACGAGTAGGAAAACCAAATTTGTGTAGGGTAGCTTGAAGAAAATCAATGCCATAATTCCTATAACAATTTTATCCTTAGGTATAAAATAAAGAGTTTCTTGTGCAAGGATACTATTATCAAGTGTTCCTTTCCCTAATATGAAACTTTCTTGGAAAGGTCCAATGGTATCATGGAGGTAAGGATGTAGTCGTGCTACTATTACTTTCGATATAACCTTATATGCCAAATTACACAAACTGATCGGGTAGAAGTCTTTAAGATTAGACGAATTGTCTATTTTCTGGATAAGCACGATTAATGTTTTAAGAAGATATCCATCTAAGAAGCTATGCAGAAATGCTTCACACTCTACTTCATGCACCATCCTCCAAAGTTCGCAACCCACAATGTGCAAGTATTGTTTATATAAAAAAGGGTTGAAATTTGTTTGGCCTAAGCGCCTTAAAGGATTTCATGCTCATAACAACCCTTTTAACCTTTTATTTAGATACCAGAGGCAAGAAAGTGGCTATAGCCTTTTCTAACCTCCACCCTTTGCCATTGACTCTCTACCCTAGGCACACTTGTCCATTGTTGTAGGAAGACTCACACACACATGGGCAACATGGTCATAACAACCACATGTGGTATAAAGTAAATGCAAGCCTTTGTATTCTACTTTGTACCATACATTATTAAGATTAAATCAGCCTAACACCGATTTATGGAGGTTAATTTTAACACAGACTTTGGCGAACCTCCCTTTAGTCATATTAAGGGTCTGAGATCCACCTTAATAGGCCTTCTTATCATTGAGGCTATGGTAAGAAGAACGCTCTCATCATAAAACATCATGCTTAACCCTAAAAAACAAACCCAGACAAAGGTTTTATCCTCCTCCACCTCAAACACCACAAACTCCAGTTACCATTGCTTGACAGTCGAGTAATGATCAAAAAGCTTCCACGGACCTCCTTGCATTACACTCCCCATTTTGACATCAAGATCAAATTTCACATTGAAATAGCCATGTGATATATCCATTACCTCAAAACCCCCTTGTAATTTCCAAAGCATTTGCAGCTTGCTTCGGATAGTAATGAAACCAATGTAATTCCCCAACAATTTCATCACCAGACATTGTTTCCACGATTTGCATAGTTTCAGAAAGGTTGATTCAACAATAGTGAACTTAGGAAGGAGATGATCACCACCCTGATACTCCAAGGACATAACACCCTCCTCGAGGAGATCACGTACCAGAGAGGATACTAGGACCCCTATAACCTTTTCCTTGAATGTTTTATTTGGTTGACCAGTGTTTCCCCCTCCATTTGGAGCCTCTGAAAGCTTCTCAGTATTCCCTAGCACAAAGAAAATCCTAACACTCATTCTTTAACAATTTTAGTTGTTAATTTGACATACATAGGTGGTTAATTTCCCATATTATTTTTTATTATTTAAAGATTTAAAGATAAAATTATCTAAAAAATGTGGAGACAAAAAAATAGTTACAAATCCTTGTATCTCCTTTATATAAAGGTATAAATATATACCTATATGTCCATGCCTATATATATATATACACACACAAGGTTATAAACCCTAAACCCTATTAATATATACCTATATATCTATGCCTATAAATAAATAAATAAAAGATAATGAAAGAGGAAGTGATTTAAAGATAGTTATAAAAATAAATTAGTCTAAAATTTGTGCACATAAAAAATGGTATCCCCTTTATTAATATATGTAAATATATATTTATATATCTATGCTTATGTACAAATAAATTTTTAGGTCAAAGGACGATATTAGATTCTTTAGTGATAATGTTTTAATAATATCAAACACAAACTTTTTATATAAAGAAAATTTTTTAAGTCATAAGATGAATGCTCTCCGTAAGATGAATGCACTAAAATAATTCATTATCTTAATATAAGTGTCTAATAGATGAAAAACTTCATCTATAAGGCATTTACTCTTTATTCATATCATTTTATAATGTCGGATAACTAAATCGATCTTTATGTATATTAATCCTTAACATATCAAACCAAAATAACTTCCTCATTACCTACACTAACAAAAGAGAAGGAAAACATGTTTTTTGTTAGAAAAAGTCAAGCAAATCTCGTGAATCACAAAAATCTTTAGAAAAAATTGTTTTGAACTAACACATGCATGACTCCACTCGTTTGGTATCTAAAATGTGATAAGTAGCTTCCTTGATCAAATAAAAAGTGACTATTTGGTGAAAGTATTTAAAGCAAACATTTAATGCATCGTTGACACTTCTCCTTATAAGGAACTAAGATAAAGACAGACGGAATAAGCCTATGAGATATGCTTAAGGATTTGTAAGGGTCATTTTCATTGAAGCCTTATAAAAGGAAGTTTGAAATTCAGAAAGAAAAAAAGAGAAGCACATAGATAGACTAATCATTGTAAAAATATATTCATTCTTTCTGTAAAAGGTTCTATACTTAATTGATTACATTACATCTTCATTATAAGACAAAGCAACTGTTAGCTTATCCAACTTTAACTTTGTGTTATTAATTTGAGCCTAGAAAGGCTTGTCTCTATAAAAGAATTTTTGATTGTAAAAACTTGGAGAGACTTTGTGTATACTTGAGTAGTTATTTGAATAGACAAGCCAAATAACACTTAGGTTTGAGTCAGAAGTGACTTGGTAAAAGAATACTTATATCTTAACATAAGATAATGGAACTTGATCTAATCTGGTTAGATCAAGAACTGGACACAGTCTTAATGATTGAACCAATATAAAAATACTGTGTTCAATTTATTATCTATTCGCTTGTATTTCTTTATAAAGTTACTATCTCATTATTTTTGAAAAGTGTGAGTTTTTGATTAATACTATTCAACTTTTTTTTCTCACATAAATAAATAAATAAAAGATAATGAAAGAGAAAATAGTTTAGAGGCAATTATAAAGATAAATTAGTCCCAAATTTTTGTACACAAAAGGGGTATCCCTTTTATTAATAGTAATGACTAACTTGCAAAAAATATTTAATGTCTATGTGAATTTATTTTAAAAAATAATAGATAAAAATTATATAATAGTGGGTAGTTATAAAAAATACAGATGATTATCAAATAAAAAAATAAAAAAAATTAAATTTTGTAAAAAGATAGTTATAAAATTGGATAAAAATTATATATATGAAAAATTATAGTTATAGATTAATTAATTAATAATTAATTATGATTATCATTAATATTAATATATTATTATTAATAATGTTAATTAATTAATAAATATAGGTAGTATAGATATAGATTAATAGTATAGATTACACTTCAAATTTGAATTAGAAACATTAAAAGAAATACTCATAAATCCACGTCGATACCGTCTGTGATCAACTTGTCTAAAGTCTCTAAGTTAACGACGCCATGTAAAACCCCCCAACCACCGTTCCCTCTCTTCTCACAATATTTAGATCTACCATTCTCTCTCTCTCTCTCTTCGATGGCTTCCCCAGCTGTTGCCACCGCCGCGAGGAACGAACCTCCACCGCAGTCGGTGGATCCTTCGCCGTTGTCCTCCCCCGACATCGGTGATCGTAGCGATTCCTTCAACTCCTCGCCGAATAACTTCTCCGACTCTGAAATTCAGGTACCTCGCTTGCTCGCCTTACGAGTAACCGTTGTCTTCGGTTCCATGTTTGCTACATTTGCGATTCTTCAAATCGATGGTGTGAGATGCCGTTTATTGCTTAATTGAAACTTAATTCAAGTGTCGTTTAGTTTGAGTTTGGAAATTGTTCGAAGTAGTTCGATTTGTTACGGCTTCAGTGAAACTTATGAAATGAATTGGGGCTTTTGATGATAGTTTTTGACACATTTAACTGAGATTTATAGCGATATAGAATTTCGACGTATTGTTGATTATGTTATATTACTTCTGTGATAATGATTGTTTTGTTTTGTTTTTGTTACAGTCTCCGGACGTATTGAAGAGTGAAGAGTATCGTCAATTGTTCCGTCTTCCACCGGAGGAAGTGAGTGATGTTCCACCTTTAAGACAGATATTTTGGTGTCATCTTTATGGTTTATTAGTTGGTTTACTGATTATCATGGTATGATGGAATAGTTGGCATTTCTCTAAGACTGTTCAAATTAGCATGTTCTACTGCTCACGAGCATCTGGGGGTCGTGTTATTCTTTCTTCTTCTTGGTATAAGGAGAGAATTCCATATTTCTCTATGATAGTGTTTTCTGGAAGTCTAGAAGAATGCCCTTTGGTCTGACCCTCACTATAAATTTTGGAAGGGTAAAGTGGTGTGTATCATCTGAAGCCCTCCCACCCTTCTATATTTCTTCCTATAATGCATTTTTGGCTAGATTAGTTTTGGTTTTAATTACCAATTTATCCTTATTAAATTATATATTTCATGGTTTTAAAATGCGATTATAGTTGTAGTTTGTTGTGATCTTTGATGTTGTGGGAAAATGCGGTTGATGTGGCCGCAAATGTGGTTGCAGCTGCATTTTAAAACAATAAAACCATGATATATATTTATCCAAATTCACTGAATCATATTTTATTTGACAATCTCAAAACTAGAAATCATTTTAGGTACACAGTTTAGGCATATCTAATTCTTACCATAATTTTAGATGAACCAAATTGATAATGTGAAAGCTGTTAGAACTGTGCATCTTTTTAGTTTTGGGTGTCCATACTTGATAACTTACAGCAAATTGATTCCCCTTTTGTTTTTTCATAATCAAAAACACTTCTTATTTGTTGTCTTTTTCTTTAGGTCCTTATTGAAGATTTTAATTGTGCTCTCCAGGAAAACATACTTATTCAGGTAAAATCCTGGTAACATGTTATTGTTTAATGTTGATACTCTTACCGTGTGTTATCATTTCAATTTGAAGACCAGTACTGTATTTTCCCTTTGGTTGAAAGTAAGTTAAAATGCATCACTTGTTTGAACATGTAGCATTTTAATTTGTTTTCCTGACGGGTTATTAATTGCTTGTTGTAGGGTCATATGTACCTCTTTGTCAATTTCATTTGTTTCTACTCAAATATATTTGGGTTTGAGACAAAGGTGAGCTGCTTAACTCAATTGTCTATGCATTTAAACATTCATTTAAACTTTTCACGGGAGGAATTAGATTTATATTTACCTAGAATATATTGTATATGATATATAATTATAAATAAATATAAATATAAATAATATGTATATCAAGCTTATTCAATGTACATGCTTAATCTATTATGTTGACCTTTTGCTAGTCCGATAAATATATTATGATATATTGTATTTACTTAAGTAATTTGTGTTTGTGGTGTTGCTCTTTGTAAATTGTCTTTCTTTAGTCATAGGAAGGAGATGCTCATTTAAGTGGCTTCTGCTTCTAAATTGTGTGGCAGAATTTGTTTCTGAGTTATTCTGATAGGTCAGTTATTAGTCATGTCAGTAATTAGTTAGTTAGGCTAGTCAAAGAAATATGAGGGGTTAATGTTAGAAAGAAGGGGAATGGGCCTGCAATTGATTAGGCTGATTAAGGGTGGATTGATGTTAGCAGACCAGTGGCTGCATAGAAATAGAAAGAGGAGTTGAGAAGAAGAGTGAGTCATTTTGGTGAAATAGAATTGGGATAAGGGAGAGGCTTGAATCTCTTGAATATCCAGGGGATTTTGTACAGTTACACTAAGTTATTTACTTTCTACCACCCATATATATGTATTGCATTTAATTTTAAACTAGTACATGCATACATTCATACAAAATTCATAATCATCAAGATCCAGAAAACAAATTAACTACTTGTTTTTGTGATAAAATAGAACATTTTCATGTTGTTTGAAGGGTTGGAATTTTGGTAGATGCAATTGCATATGATTTTTAATATGAAAGGAATTCCATTTCATGACTTGTACTTATGATGGGTTTAAGCTAGTGATTTTGGTTTTAATTTTTGCCACATCTCAGAAAATGTCAATGATTTATGTTTCAGAGAATAATCCCATTCCCTGAAGTAACAACTGTGAGGAGGGCAAAGACAGCTGGGCTCTTTCCCAATGCCATTGAGATTCTTGCTGGAAACAGAAAGGTGTGTTAGATGTGGAGTAACATTTATGCTAGTTGTATAACTTGTATTAATGAATATATGTCCTGAATATTACTATTCTATTTGTAATTTCTGTTCTATTGTGCTGCAATGTCTTGATTCATTTTTATATTTGGCAGTACTTCTTTGCATCCTTCCTATCGCGTGATGAAGCTTTCAATATTATTAATGATGGATGGTTGCGACAGGGCAATGGAGCTAGAGCAATGTTGGAACAAAAAGTATTTTGCTACAGAACTCTGTTGTGATACTAATTGTTTATTATTTTTTGTTCTCTTGGTACTTGGAAGTATATAACATTATGAATTTTAGGAAAGAATGGTGCCCTTGCCCCTTTAATGTAGTAATCTTTTAATTGGTAATGAATGATATATCTGGAAAAGTGTTCACCTGTGGTCAGTTCAGAACACAAGTTTTGTATAAAATGCTTGAGTTTCTATACGCACACCACTGATCTATGTATATGTATATATTAAATCTGTGTATATGTATATATAAAACAAAAGTCTGAAAAGGCTACACCCTAGGACACCTTTGTGTCAGATAGATACAACAAAAACTTCATAAAAGGTATACAAATGGGAGCATATAAATGTATGTACCAAGCTTGAAACTTATGAATTGAATCCTAGGGCCTCTCAAAGACTTGGTCAAAATATCTGCAAATTGATCACCTGAGTTGATAAATTTAGTATTAATTTTCTTCGATAACAACTTCTCTTGAACAAAATGACAATCAATTTCTATGTGTTTTATTCTCTCATTGAATACTAGATTAGAGGCAATGTAAAGTGCTTCCTGATTATCACAATACAACTTTTTATGTATAAAATTTCAAATGACTTTATTTCATATGATTTTATTACTGATGTCTTATGAAGTTATGGTATTTTCACTATTTTGTTAATTTGAATATCCCTAGATAATTTTTTTTACTTATTACTAGTATGATATTTTATTGTTTATGCCTTCTAACGAGTTTGATATTTTTGTTATTTTTATCTTATGCCTTATGGTACGTATGAAGTTAGAATTTTAATATTATTTTAATGGGAGGGATTTACTTATTTCAAGAGTAAGTCTAGATAAACTTACTCTATTCAATAACTCATATTTTACATTGAATTTTAACAATCCAACCGTTAAATTAGATGTTCTTAATGTATAGATCAAGTTTACAAATTAGATGTCCTTCATGTAGTGCGTTCCGTACCTATCACATGGTAAAATATTGTTCCACTTTTGCTGTTATTTTCAGTATTCAGTTTCTTTGGACAATTGGACCATTTGTGCATTTTAAGATCTTAAAATGCCAATTAATTGGTCAAAATTGTATTTGTTATACCATTTCCCTCATTTATTTTACTTCAGGAATCAATGTCTGAGTCCAACAGCCAAGATAATGGATTAGTAGCTGTTGAAAATGTCAAAAGTTCTGATATACTGGACAATGAGTCACTGTCTACTGACCTGTATGTCCATGATCATAATGGCTTTTGGTTTAGAATGTATCATTCTGTGCTGCTGATTTAGGCTTTTCTTATGTGTGTGAACCAGGAGCAAAGATACGGGGCATCGATCCATTGTAGGAGATGACCCCGCAGATTCTGAGAAGCCATGCAGTGTAAAACAGGTTGCTGAACCTAGATTGAATAATGATGCCCCAAGTGTGAGTTGGAAGTGGAATGAGGAGGATATTGATGCTCCAACAAGTGAGTTTGGGAACATACCTATATCTGTGAACATTTTGGATTCATGTTCAAACATCATGCTAATAGTCATTTATAAATTGTGCTTTGAGGGGAAATATCTAAATGAGGGGAAATATTTTAACAATTTTGTTTTAATATGTTAAATGGATGTCTGTTATAGTGGATCAAGAAAAGGTGTTTCAAATTTGAATTATTGATTAAAAGTACACTTTTACTCTGGTGTTGCTTGAGGATTTTGGGTAGAACTCTGCACCCAAAACCTCCTTTATTGAAAAATTGTAATACTAAGTGTGTGTTTGGTTAGCATTTCTGTCTAATATAACGGATGTTCAACTAAATGATAGGCAAGACTAGCTTCTGCATTTCCTCCCTTGGAAAGTGTGAATGTCCATTTTGGGTGTTCAAAATGTTAATCCAAACACCCTATAAGTGGTACAAAGAGTTGAAATTTTGTCTACTTGAGATTTGAGTTTTGGAGAAATATTGCTGGAGTGTGTGAAACCACTCAGCAGAGTATCTACTTATATAAAAACAGATATACTAAGTCATAGTCTGCTCCCTTATGACAGATGGCTACAACTGAGAAAAAGATAAGAAAACAACCTTTTAGAAATACATATAAAACTTAAATATGTTTAGTTCCTTAAATTTAAGGTAATACCTTCTGTTATCTATGGAGTAACATTTATACTGTTTTTGAAGATGAGAATACCCTAGAAACACATTTATTTTCTCTTGAAGATAGTTTGTCAAGACTTGGAGATACATCATGAACATAACATGTACAACTAAAGACTTGGGGAGAAACATAGGTTCATTGGGAAAAATGATGGAATGAGAGGAATATTGTTTTCAAGAGAGGAAGAAGACACCCTTTTAATTAAAAATAGCAATGAGAACTACATGACCCCAATGATGGATAGGAACATTTGCATTGAGTAGTAAGGTGCATGCAGTCTCGACTAAATGTCTATTTTTCCTTCCTGTGACTCCATTTGTTATGGTGTGCGAGGACATGTGGATTGATGCACAATCTACTGTGAGGATAGAAAGCAAGAAAGCTTAGAAGGAAAATATTCTTTGGCGTTGTCACTTATGACTTGTGAGAATCTTGATTATTTTTCCAAATTCGTTCTTGATCTCATTGAGGAAGGACATGAAAATAGGCAATAGTTCAAATCTATCTTTCATTAAACCCAAGTACATTGAGAAAATTCATTAATTGGTGGAAGAAAATATCTAAAACCAAAAGATGGTACACAACTTGGACCCAAAATATCTGAATGAATGGTAGAAAAAACTAAGTTATATCTTCTTTAGTTCGCTTGGGAAAAGAAGACTGAACATGTTTGCATAATTGACATGATTCACAATCTCACATCTAGAGTTTGTTGAGACCAGGAACCATTATCTTTAGCATGGCCAGGCTTGGGTGACATAAAGGGTAATGCTAAAGCTTTGAAATGAAATTTCATTCACATCATGTTATAAAATTTAAAGGATATTTTGAACCCCATCTAAAAGTCTTAAAATTTGATTATAATAGAAATACCAAAATTTAGGAAAATATTAACTATTTTTGAATATGTAATTATTTTAAATTTTTTTTTTTTTGGCATTTGCTATGCAATAGTTGCACTGAATAAAAATATTTATTGGAGTTATTGAGTGGTGTGTGAAGCCTTAAATGTGTCACTTGAATTGTGCTTCAAGAATGTTGTAAAAGATAGGAGTGATGTTAATGAGTTTTATGAAACGGTAAAAAGTGGTTGATGTTAACATAGGCCTTTCCTTTTTAGATAAGATATTTTTGCAGTTTTTTTTTCTTTTATCTTCTTTGTGAAGTCATTTTTGCAGTTGTTATTGTCTTGTGTGTTTAGCTTAAGTATGTGACTTCTGATTATTAACTATAGATATTCTTTTATTTTTTGCACTATTTTTTTAGGCATTTATATATATGTAATATAAGTTTTAGGCTTGTATTTAATTATTTATAATATTTGGAATACCTAGCAACTACATGCTGCTATTTGGGATTGATAACTATGGCATGCATGTGAAAATGAGAAACACTTCATGTGTTAAGATCCATTGTGTTTATCTTGTAATTAACTGCTATTGTTGGTTCACATTATGTGTGAAAATAATCTGATGGATTTGAATTTGTTTTCTAATATGCAGCTGATGAAGCATATACATGTGTTGCAGATTCAGTGTTTCCGGTATTATCTCATTTAAAAATTACTAGATCTGTTTTTTCTTTGATTAATATTAATTTTAAATATTTAGAGATTTTCTCAACGTTTTGAAATTACAAATTGCAGATAAAGGTTGAAGACTTCTTTAGGTACTTTTTCTCAGATGATGCTGTAAATTTTCTTGAGTCTTTTCATAAAAGATGTGGTGATAAAGGTAGTCTGCATGAAACTTCTAAACCTGTGCCTTTCAATTTTCATTTTCATTTTCCAATTTTGTTTACTATCCTCATTTACATTTTATATGATTTTAGGGAAGGAATAGAAATAACTGATGCCTTTCTTCATGCATTATTTTTTTGATGAGTATTTCTTGTGTTCTTTTGCCTTCAGACTTTAAGTGTGCTTCGTGGCATCCTCAAGAGAAATTTGGGTATGCTCGTGAACTGTCTTTTCAACATCCAATAAAACTTTATCTTGGTATGCTTCTGCTGCTTTTATTTTGACGTGCATTGTATAATTTCTTGTTCTGACTTTGGTTTTGTTTTCCCATTATATTTATAAATCTATAGGTTATTGATTATTCCATAGTAATGTAAACTAATTCAAAATGACATAGAACTATCATGTTATTGAGTTATGAAACTGCTTTTAATTTTATAGAAATAAGTTTATGCATCACATATCTAAAATTTGCAGCTAGTTATTAACATGAAGTTGACTACAAGCAAAAACTAAAAAGTTTGAACAGAACTTTTAGAAATGGGCCTAGTGAAAGTGAAAGGGACATACATAAGTAAGTGTTCTAGTTGACTTGAAGAATGGTGAAGCCAAACATGTAAGGCTAGCTACTAGCTAGTCTATAAAAAATATAGGGCCATATTCCTACATCACATTCATTAAAAACTTTTCCCTATGATACAGTTCAATAAATTTTTGAAAATTTAGTGTAGATACCTATTTGCTGGTCGACATGATTGTGTTTCTTTTTCAGGAGCAAAATTTGGTGGCTGCCATGAGCTCCAGAAGTTTCGTGTTTATAGGAACAGGTTTTTGCAATGACCCTTTTATCATCTATTTATGTTTTAATTAATTCATCTTCTGCTTTCAATGCAATTATAATAGGTAAAGGTTTGAGGAACATTCCAATACAAACGAAGCTAGATGGAGGATACTTAAGGGGATGGATGCCCGTAGTTGTTAGGGGTGTTGTGGGCAGGGTTTGATAATGTAATGTAAGTGTGGCAATAATAGCATATTTTCCCGTAGTAGGCTTCATAAGGCTCTTTAAGTGGACGAAGTTGTGAAATTAAGATACTGATACATGGACTAGAGAGATAGAATGGAAGAAAATGCCTCTTGCACATTTTTGTGTAGCCTGATAAAGAATGGTTCTAGTGCCAGAGTTTATGCAATAGATTGAAATAGATTTGTATGGGTCCTTTGAATTGCATGCCTTTCAAGAATTTTTACAATTAAAGGGTGGGAGTAGTACCAGAGAAGGAATATTTTTATTCAATTAAATAATTTGATTGTTTCAAACCATGTGTTGTGAGTTTGGAATGGTGTACAACATGAACATACAAGTAGAAGCTCGTAGGTGGCTTGTTCAGTTTTTTTCTCTCTTCTTTGATGAGAAAAGCTGGGCCAGGACTTGGGAGAATTGGAGCTTTTATGTTATTGAAGAGTAAAAGTGATTGCTTTAGCTTCTATTATGCATTTTGTTATTCCTTTATCTGTTTTCTTGTGTTCTTTATGTTTTTTATTTGTTCTAAAAATAAAGTTACCGCATTGACCACATGAAATATAGTGTTCTTAAAATGTTTCTTGTTATCTTGACATGTATTTGTTATTTCATCCAGTCATTTGGTTATAGAGACATCTCAAGAAGTCAGTGATGTACCTTATGCAGATTATTTCCGCGTTGAGGTACAAGTTTTCTTGAAACACTCGATCTTTATTCACATGAGCTTTTAGGTAATTTTGGACTGTATAAAAGTTTCAATCAAAAGTATTTCTTGGGTTACATTTTGGTCGATGTTGATTTCCTGGAATACCCAATATTTTGTTTCTACCGTAACTAAAGAGTAGGATATTGTTGAAATTAACACAGGTCCAGCACTTCCACCTCCTACATTTTAGGGAACTTCTTAACAATTTAAAATCAGTTCACTTTCAGTTTTAAAGATTTAAATGACAATTTTCATGTCAGATTTTCTCCATGCATGTTATATCTACTTTGTTGGTCCAAGACAATACCACGGCATGGCACCAACAGGAAGCCAGAGACAGTCTTATCAGTTATCACGTAACAAATATAATGATAGGAAGAACCCTTAATAATACAAGCATTTCCTCTCTAATCAAATGTTCTAAAAACTAACATTGCCAGTTGCCATAAAAACAAAGGCTTTTCTCATAAACCTTCATAAACTGATAAACAGAAACTGGTCCTAATTCATGGAGTGCACTAAAGGTTCATTAATACTACAACAAAAGTTTTTTCCGCACTAGGTGGGGTCTGCTACATTGATCAAATAATGCCATCATACTGTCAAATACCAAATATTTTAAAAGGCCACTTAGATCAAAGCCTTTGCATCATCAAAAAATTAATTAGAAATAATCAAGAAATGACCAAAGACTTTTCAGTCTTCTTCTCACATGTTCAAATCATTGTTAACAAGATTCTATGATCATTAAATATACCAAATAATTTACTAGAGGCTCAATAGATGGTCCCTCTTTTACTAATTCCCGACTTAAGAAAATCCAACATTATCTTTTTTATCCTTTGGTAACCAAAATTGAGATTTATTAGAGATAACTAGAGTTACTTGATATGCAGTCTGTATAAGACTTGCATGAATGCCCCCAAAGATAGGAAATTGCATTTCCAATTATTTTAGCTCTTGCAAATTTGGCTAAAGGGTAAAGTAGAAAGAATTTGATGCTGTGGTAATCTCAGCCAAACTATGTTCATGAAAAATTTACTTTCAGAGGGTTGGGTGGATATTGTACATGTTTACAAATTGTGGGCCTATCCCAAATACCATTACCTTCTATGTACATTTCAAAAGTTACCAAAGTTCAAGAAATATATGAACACTATTAAATATTAAAAAAACCAAAAAATTAGATATTGGTAATGTGATCGTTAGATTTGTCAAATGTTATGTATATATTCTAATATCTACTTTTCTTATGAATATAATATTTAATAGTGTGATGTATATATTCCTTGAACTTTGGTAACTTTTGAAAAGCACATAGAAGGTAATAGTATTTAGTATAGGCCGACAATTTGTATACATGTAAAAATTCGATATTGGTAACATGATCATCAAATTTGTCAAGTGAGCTCATTTTTAAACAGGTAAGTGACTTAAGGAACTAGGTTAGAAACATTTAGACTATTTTCCATTTCCAGATGTCTAACTGAAAAATGAGTTTGATTAATGTTTATAACTAGTGTATTCTACTATCATCTCTTACATTATATTTAGGTGTGTTTGGTGCAGCTTATTTTTGGCTTATTTTTTCCTTAAAAGTAAAAGTTAGGCCAAACATTTTATGAAAAGCTCTAAAAATTAAGCTACTTATTTTTATAAACAAATTTTAAAAATAAGTAGCTTTCGATTATGCTAGTGGGATGAGCTTTTTTATGACGTAATTGGAGCTTATTTATATAGTCACTTCTTAGAATCATGATAAGACCAAAAACATCGTATTTTCTTTAATTTGTTTTTGTCATGGTTCTAAATTGTGGTTGTAGTTATAACCATTGTGGTTGCGATGTGAATTGTGGCCGTTGCGACTTGAAATTATTATATATTTATATTGAATATAAACAAATAATTTTGTAACATGAAAATCAATCAAATCTCTTTTTCTCAAATTTTCATTTCAAATCCTGTTCTTCCTTTCCTAAATTACATCATGCACCCTCCCAACACTACAAGTCTACAACCAATCATCATTAGTTGTCTCCCTTCCTCTTTTAATATCTCATGTGGCTAAGCTTAATAAATTAGAAAATTAAAACTTAAATAATATGCGTGTTTTTGACAAAAAATGTAGAATAAAATGTTCTTTATTGCTGTTATGTTGTAGTTGCATTTTGAAATTTCCGGTGATTTAAAATTCAAATGCAGTTGCGGGTCGATGTGATTGCATATGGCAATAGGTGTTGTGGACTGCATTTTAGAATCATGCATTTTTTTATTAATTATCATATTTGTGTGCTTCATGAGCTTCCCATTAAATAATTATCTCATGTATTAGTTTATAGTTTATTGTACATTATAATTATTTCTTGTATTGTCTTAATTAGTTTTTAAAAATTAAAAATATTATTATTGTTAATTTTTATTACATGAAAACAAAATAATGTTATTAAAATTAGTAAAAAATTTAGTTTTAAATTTTTAATTACTTTGAATTTTTAATCTATAGTTATGTTTTGTAAACTTTTAATTAAAATAGTATATTTATTAAATACTCTTAATTTAAGTTGACATTATTAAATTATATTTATATAAGTTATTTTACCTTCTAAAAAATTATTTAACAATATTACTGAAGTTTTTAGATATTTTATCTTTTGAAATTAATACTTATATTTATTTAACATTACACATAAAAATATCTTATTTAAATTTATATTTATTAGTTAAAATATTTTATGAAAAATTTTAATTTAAAACTTTTATACGCATCTGTCTAATGAATAAATTATATCATAGTTAAATAAATTTTTTATATTTAAAGGTATTTACAATTTTCATCCTTTAAATTTAATTCATATTTCAGTTTTTTTTTAAATTGTTAATTTATAGTTAATATTTTGAATTCTTAAAATAATTTTTAAATGAATTGACATAGTTAAATTGTATTTAGAAAATATTTTTATCTTCTGAAAAATGTACTTAATAATAATATAGAAGATTTTAAATATTTATAGTTTATATTATTTGAATTTATCTAACTTCTACTGGTATAATTTATACTTATCAAATTAATATTTAATACAAGTCATTAATTAATTTTTTACCAAACAATTTTTAGCTTAAAAGGTCTTAAAAACTAATAGAAAGTTTACCAAACTTACTTATTTATTTATTTATTTATTTTATTGAAGCTCTTATTTTTAACTTAAACTTTTAAGCTCAAAATAAACCAGGCCAAACATAATTTGGACGTTATACTCTGAACATCAGGACCTCAACATGCATTTTGATGTTTCCACCCCACTAATTGAACAAGCACTAAATGAATGCTTTTTGATTTTCTGAGTAAAATCAATTTTTGTAGTTAAAAGACTACTATTTAAATTTCTAAAGTTTGGGATCCAATTAGGTTGTTATTGAGCTTTATCTTTTTTATGAAACTGTTTTCTGTTCTCTATTTTAGCAACTTCATTATTAGTTATTTTTGCCCAATAAATTGTCAGCTTTACTATAAGCTTGTTTCTTTGTTAATTACCAGGGACTGTGGAATGTGGAGAGAGTCAAGGATGAATCAAAAGAATGCTGCAAGTTGCGGGTATATGTGAATGTGGCGTTTTCCAAGAAAACTATTTGGAAAGGTGTGGCTTTTTATTGTGTTTCCTGAAAGAACATTTATCTTGGTTTTAATCTTAAAGTAATATCTTATATTTCTACTAATTTAGATGTTGATTCATAATTTGTGGAGTTTTATTACCATGGTAAAGTACTCAGTTTTATACTTTTTGTGAACTTTTTTTTATCAATGTTGGTTTTGTTATTTTTAGCTGCTTATTGTCTTCAATTTATACCAAGAATACTTGTGAATACTTGTGTAAGTTAAAAGACTTTTTGTGTCGCGAACATTTTCCTGAAATCAAGAAGTATTGTATATCTTGGCAAGCTAACCATAATGAAAACTGATGAAAATCCAGCTGCATAGTCCTGATGCAGTCATGCAGTTCCTGAATCAAACCCACTATGCCTCGGGCCATCAGAGGTGGTGAGGCTTTTTTCTGCCCTGTCTTAGCGCTTAGGCTGCTGAATCACCTGCTTTTGATGAGTGGATGGCACTGATTAACAGAAGTCAAACATCTGAAACCTATCCCCTATTAATCACCCTTGCCTTTAGCAGTCAATAATCATAAAACTTCTCTATATTCTTAACAAAGTTAATTCCATCTTTGACTAGATAAATACCTTATGTTTAATCCCTGTTTATCATGTGAAATTATGATGTCTATAAAGATTTTCAATATTGATAATACCATTCCTTATTTTCTCTTATGTTTGGTATTTTGTTCTTCGAATTTATTCCTAATGGGAGACATTAGCATAACTGAATCTCGGGAGATTGTTTAATACAAATTATTTCTCTCTCCCTGTACACAGTTTGAGTTGCATTGTTAAAATACCTTATCTTTTAATCTCTGTTTCACATGTGAAATTCTACGTCTACATCTGAATATTTTCAATATTGATAATACAATTCCTTTTTTTTTTTTTCTTTTTCTTTTCTTCTGTTTGTTATTTTGATTTTCTAATCTATTATAATATGAGACATTAACATAATGGTGTGTTTGGATGAAGAATTTATATAGGGTAATTCATTTATTTGAAGAATTTCAAATTCTTTGAGGTGAAATGTTTTGTTTGGATGAAGAATTTACAAAGAATTTGAAATCTAAGCATTTGTGAAATTCCTTAAAATAGTAGAATTTCAAATTCTCTCAAAAATGGAAGAATTTGAAATTCCTCATATTTATTTTTCTTATTTCACCTATATATTTTATCTTATCTCTTCATTCTTTTAATTATTGGATATTCAAAAATATTTTTAAAATTATTAAATATTATCTTATATTAATTTTTAAAATTATTAAATATTATCTAATATTAATTTTTAAAATTATTAAATATTTAAAAAAGGATTAATATTTATTTTTATAAAATTTAATTTAAAAATCTCAACATATAAATATATTTTTAAAATTAATTTTACTATGATAGAATCAAATTATCATATTCAACCTAACAATTTAAAATTTAAGAAATTTGAATTGACTCATCCAAACAAAATATTTAAAGAATGATAGAAATTGAAATCAAAGTAATTCAAATACCAAGAATTTAAAATTCCTTGAATTTTTAACATTCCTCATCCAAACACACTATAACTGAATCTTGGGAGATTGTTTAATACAAATTATCTGCGTCTCCCCCTGCACAGAATTTGAGTTGCATTGGGATGTGTTTTCCTATTTTTTCTTTGTCATGATGAACTTAAACTTTCTTTGATTCCATGCGGGGTGAACAATCACAGGCAAAATAATACAGTCAACAGTAGAAGAATGTCGAGAGGCTTATGCGACATGGATGAATATGGTATTCTTTTGTGTTTATTTATACATATTTTGTTTTAGTGCAGGTCAAAATTTTCTTTTAATCGTCCATTTGATAATGTATCGATATTTCTTTCAGGCACATGAAATGTTAAAGGAGAAAAACCTTGAAAAACAAGGTGTGGTTTGTCAATTTCTATATTTTCTAGTGTTCAGTGAAATATCCTGTCTTGAGAAGATTTATAATTTAGTTTTCATGAGGTTGAAAGTGGTTCGTTGCTGCTGTAGCTCAAAATGGTGAAACGAATTTAGAAAGAGAAGTAAAGACTGGAGAATCTTCAGAAGGGCCACAGTCACAGGATCAAAGTAGCCCTACACAGATACTTGCTACATCCGATTCCTTTGATGCTACCACCCACAATGTTGGCACTCACTTGCAAGGAAATTTCATTGATACATTATCTGTTCCATTGTTCAAGGAGTTTATGACAAAGTTGAGATCATCTTTGAAAAGTCAGAGCAATCTTGCCCTGCTCCTTGTTACTATTGTGGCTCTGATTTTCTTCATGCAGGTATTGTTGATAAAAAATTGTAGCAATTACTGGCTTCAAAAAGCTTTTAGCATTCAGTCATTTCAGATTTGAAGTTACCTCTAACCCTTTATTCTGTTGCAGCAGTTTAGCATACTTGTGCTATTGTCCAGACCTCAGCACATACATATGAACACTCCTGTAGAGTTCACGAATAGGATGGATAGTGGAGTGACTAGAAGTCCTTCAGACATAGCGTGGATGGAGAAAAGAATTCATCACCTTAAAGATGAGATGTACATGGTTGAGAGTAGGCTTGAAAGGATGAGGTATGAATATTCGCTCTTAAAAAAGCAACTAAACGACCTAGAACATAAGTAGCTACCAAATTTCATTGTTGAATCATATATTTCTCTACCATCTTTTTGTATATATATATGTAATGCGATGTATCAATATGACATTTAATTTCGTAAATTCATTCTTCCTCGTTGTGCATGAAAAAGTAATGTTATACAAGAAATTAATTTGTGATTTAGTGGTTGTTTGCCAGCATCCCAAATTAGGATGAAATGCAATGGACCACTATTATAATTTAAGGTTTAATTGCAATTTTTGTTTTGGTTTCTTTGTCAGTTTAAATTCCATCTTGTTCTCCATTTTTAATTGCTTGCATATTATTCAGTTGATAAAATGAAGTCTTTTGCTTCAAATTTACTCTTAGTAAAAGTCTTTTGTTCTCCATTTTTAATTGCAATTCATGTCCGCACAATATTTTAAAATTGACAACTAAAGACTAATTTATACTTGTGAGACGTATTTTTCGTTGGCCAAATATTATTACAACGGTAAAATGACATTGATTGGCATAAATTACTAAAGGAGACAGTCTGTCAAATATATTTGGATAAAATAATAAGATAAATACAGCTCAAAATGAGATATTCGGGGTATTTAAATATTTTATTTATTTCTTTGTTAGTTTATATTAATTAATTTTACAAGTATGATTGTTATATTTTCATTGATTATTGAAGGAAAGTGGAATTGAATTTTGATGACCAGAAAGTTATGAAAATTAAATGTTTAGTAATTAAAATTAGAGGAATTAGAATTATACACAAGTGTAATTAAATCAAAACTTTAGAATAAACATGTAGACCTATAAAGATATAATTTAAATCAACACTAATACACGTTAGATCAAGAGCATCTCTTGGTTCTCTCCTCATGTGGCGATGATCAAGCTTAGCATTGATGGTAGTTATCAAGGTAACTCATGACTTTTTGGATTTGGGATATTGTTCGTGACTTTGGGTTCTTGGCTTAGTTGGGATTTTAGAGGTTGTGAGTACACTCCTAATATTAGCATGAAATTTCTTGTCATTCACAGGCTTGGAATTAGTTTGGAACATGGACTTTGGTTGTGTTGATTGTGTATCAAATTAGCTCGTGACTATCAATTTTATTTTATAGGAAGATCTTAGTTGTGAATCAATGACAGTCATCATCAATCATATTAGATCCTTCAAAATTAGATAGTGATATATTTTGTTTTATTATTAGGGATAACAATGAGGTAGGTCAGGTACGAATTTCATTATACTTGTTCTCGTTCTTACGACTCAAACTCATTCTTATACCTGTCGGATATATAATTTTTGTCCTCATCTCCATCCTTGTTGAGTATCGGATATACTCATACCCGTAAAAATTATTTTTTTTTATATTTTTTTAAACAATATTTTTAAATTATTTTTTCATTTTATTACAATTATAATTAGGTTATTTTTCTATCTCATATTTTAAGCAAGAGACTTCTTAAAAATTAAACAACCATAAATGTTTTACATTATAATAAATAATTACACATAATAAAATATTAAAATTCTGTAACACAATTAAATCGGAGGTGGGTATTAAACCGAGGATGGGGATGAGGGCGAGTATAGGGATGGGTATGGGGCAGGTAAGTATATACCCGTACCCATACCCTGTTTAATATATCGGATTTTACCTGTACCCGTACCCATACCTGGTCAAACCAGATATTTTTCGTCAAAGTCAGAATGAGTTCGGATATTATCTAGGGATACGGGTTTATTTGCCATCCCTATTCATTACATATACCGAGAGATGAATATATATGAGTTATAATTACACCGGTGTAACTTTTACTAAGTATCACACCGCTTAATAACTTTATATTAATTGTGAATTTTATAAATTCAATCATTATATTGAAAGTTCATATCATTTTATACGTGTATATCAAATTTTGTTAAAATTGAACAACAACTTAAAGGTAATCAAAGTGTTCATATTTTAGTGTATTTTGAAATTAATATATTATGTCAATTTTGTTTTATAAAAATGAAGTATCAAATTATCTTGGATTAATATAAAATTTTGTATATATGATCTAAGATATATATATGAGGAGGTTTATAATAATACCGGTATAATTTTTACTAAGTATTATACCGCTCAATAACTTTACATTAAATGTGAATTTTGTAAATCCAATCGTTGGATTGAAAGTTCATATCACTTTATACGTTTATATCAAATTTTGTTAAAATTAAACAACAACTTGAAGGTAATCAAAGTGTTCATATTTTAATATATTTTGAAATGTATATATTACGTCAATTTTGTTTTATAAGAATGAAGTATCAAATCATCTTGGATTAATATAAAACTTTGTATATATGATCTAAGAGTAAAAAACTTTTAATTTAACAGTTGGATTTACAAAATTCACATTTAGTATAAAGTTATTAAGCAGTGTAATACTTGATTGTTACATTAATAAATATTTTCAAACAATTTCTAACGGATGTATCTGTCGGTAATTTCTGACAGATAATTAGCGACGGATATATCCATCAAAAATTACTGACGGATTAAATTTTTTTTTTCGATGCCCATTTTTTTGACGGATTTGCATCCGTCGAAAATAGAGAATTTCTGATAGATTTTTCTTCTTTCTGACGAATTATGTCTGTCAGAAATTTACGTTTTTCTTGAAGTGTACTTTAGAATTCTGTTAATCAAAAGAGTTTGATCATACAACTTTTAATTAACTTGAATAAAAATTGGAAGTAATAAAATACGATAACAATTTAAGCAAGAAAAAAAATCATAAATTCATCATTGGGGGTTCTAAAAGAATAATTACATCACAATCCTAGAATGAGAGAACTAGTCACACATGATACTATAACCCATTAAACAGAGAGAAGAATTAATCATAACCGGAATAATCCTTTATTGAAGGTTTGAACTTTTACCTCTTATAGAACCTCAACAACAAATATAAGCGAAAAACTAACTATAGAGAAAATTTAATAAAAAACTGGATGCCTAGAATTATTCGAGACATCCTTATTTATACATAATAAAGTTTGGGATAGACACAAGTATTGTCGTGCATGTGATAAGCACGACCATGCATAAGAGTGAGCATGATTGTGCTTTAGTGTAGGCACCAGACATGAGTGTGCTTCATTTAAAGGAAGACATACTTAGGACATCCTGAAGGGAGCACGACTATGCATATTGTTGAGCACGACTGAGACATGTTTCATTTGAAGGATGACTATGCATTAGAGAAGCATGACTATGCATATCGTAAGACTTCAACTTTTTATCATTTTCCCCTTTAATTGTACAAATTTTTTCTCCTTGCAATTTTCCTATTTGCTGCATATTTTAATAAAGTGAACTATTTCCAAAGTATTATCAATAAAATAAGGCAAACCTTCAATGAATATCATCTTAAAATGTAACATTTGAATGGTTTAACAATAATTTTGAAGGATATGATTTTAATAAACTATTAAAAAATGCAGAACAATAAGAAAGAAAAATTATCATAAATGATTTGCATAAAGATATAAAAGATCTGAAAGAAGAGATGAAAATTTTAAAAATAGAATAAAAAATGTTAAAAGAAAATGACTTAATCCAAGATATTAAAATTACTAATATTATTAGTTTGATAAAAAATGAAGAAGAACCAAGTCCCTCCAAAGTTATCATTAACGAGATTAAATGTAACGTCTAATCGTATAAATATAAATCCCAATATTATACGTATATATATTTATAGAGTGAAAACACAAGCATATCATTAATAGTATTATACGTGATAACAAAGAAAGATTTTTCCAACTCATTTATATATAATTAGCTTATAATTACATTAATATTAAACTAAAAATATTAATTTTTCTTGATATAAAAATTTGAATTATACTTGTAGTGACTAGTTAGGATAAATGAGCATTATAATAACAAATAACTAAAGGTTATTTAACCTTAAGTTTTTACTGATTTAAATCCCCAAGGTAAACCTTCAACTACAAATTAATTCAAACTTTCATTCTTATGGCCATAGAATAATACTTATTTGCATGAAGAAATAACAACAAAAAAGAGTTTAAGATATTCTTAATAAAACTATATTATAATTAATATTAACATAAAAAACAATTGAGCTAACTAAATTTGAGTATTTTTAATTATTTAAGCTTTAATTAAATAAAGTTTACGTAAATGGAGTGTATTAAAGAGTAGTAATAAAGTAAATGACAATGATAATCAATATAAAATAATTCAATAAGATAACCTAGGAACACCTTACTAATTATTATGAGTAAAAATTATCATAGATTAAGCAAATAAGTAAGGTTAGGGATACTTCACTAAGTAATTACACATAGAATATAACATAAATAAATAAACATAATAGTATATAAAATTTTAAAAGATAAAGTTCTCCTCCCCCTTACCTTAATAGAAAAATAGTATTGCTTTAGAGATAGCCTTAACTGTATACAACAATTTTCTTTTCTCTCTTCCCTCTCACTATCCTTCTCTACATAATCTTTTGTTTTCCACCTTCACGATTTTTTTTTCAATTGCATCTCAAGCCTATTTATAGAAGAGTGTGTAATGATTACATGGTTACTATTTGATGGGGAATTTGTTTCATTTGGTTTGATTATTAAGCTCCATTACCACTTAGTTTCTTATAGATAATCCCACATAGCATCTCCAGTAACATCATTCCAGATGACCTTTACCAATGAAAGTTGTTTGCCTCTCAACTACTTGATTCTCCTGTCTACAATCTGTACAGACATTGTTTCAAATGTAAGGTTATCCTTTAATTGTACTGTATTAGGCATTATTACATGAGAAGGATCAGAAATATATTTTCTTAACTAAGACACATGAAAGACATTGTGAAGATTAGAAAGAAAAGGAGGTAGAGAAATTTGGTAAGCTACAAGACTTATTTTTCTGAGAATTTGGTAAGGACCAATAAATCGAGGTGTGAGTTTCTTTGATTTCACTACCTTACCAATACCAGTTGTTGGTGTAACTTTCAAAATTACATGATCACCTTCCTGAAATTCAAGAGGTAGTCTTCTCTTATCAGCATAACTTTTCTATCTGCTTTGAGTCATTCTCAATTTTTCCTGAATCATTTTGATTTTTTCTGTGGTTTGTTGCACCATTTCAAGACCCAAGATTAAATTTTCTCCAGTTTCAAACCAACATAAAGAAGTTCTGCACTTCCTTCCATATAAAGCTTTGTATAGTGCCATACCTATGCTAGAATGGA